AATATTAAACGATAAGTCCTGCGGTTGAAGCAAACCTAGTTCCTGGAAAGTCATAAGAGCACTTATGGCGGAATTGTAAGCAAGACTATCAATTGTACGGTTTTGAAAAGTGATCGGGTCGACTTTCATAAGTAATAAAATCAATTTGAATGCGACCGTTCTCAAACAGTCGAACGCCAACAGTTGAAATTTGACGATGTCCTCGAAAAATATGTTATCCAACACAGATTTGTATGCATCGTACAGCGTGATAACCTCGAATTTCCATTTTACTTTTAACAACTTAAAGTAAATAGTTCCACTGGGATTGGTTAATTTAAGTTTCAGAAATTCTTTTAACATCAATTTGTTTACGTCAAAGATTTTTGTGATATCATTTTCATATTGATGACTGGATCGGGGGATAAACATATCCTCGATAACTTGATACTGTATCAAAGCGTCTTCAATGTACAGGTCCCTATCCTTGCCCCGATTCATAGCGGATTTGCGCGCTAAATCATCGTCAAACATCGGCGGTGTGCACCATGCAATTGTATAAGCTTCGACCATATTTTTAAGACGGAAGTGAACTATTTTAATTGATCTAGTCAGGCGATAAATGGCTGTCTGATCACCATTGTAATGTTTTGAAACGGAGTACACTTTTTCGCTGTTTATGTATAAGTACATGACCGCGTTAGCAAAATTTCTGTCCACTTCGCAAACGAATTTTTCGGAATAAGAAAAAATATTGACAAGAATATCCAACAGAAATTTTTGATTCACTGACGATTTGATACTCGACACACATTCCGAAAACATTTCAGCCGACGTTTTGCACGTTTCTACGAGCATTTCGAGAATGGCAATTAAATCAATAAATTGATGTGAATACTTACAGCACAACGATTTGAACATCATATCTGAATAGTGGTCTACGTTTTTCTCGTCAAAACTTGTTGAACCAACTGGTCGAATCTCCTTCTCCAATGTCGTATTCTTGTTTCCAATATACAAATCAACTGTTTTTAACTTTTTCCAACTGTTGGTAGTAACGTAGTTCTTAAATTCCTCGGCTCGTCTGTGTTCTGTTAATCCTGCACTTACGAATGCGACACAAACGGTCATCAAGATGAAGAGAAAATCCATAATTTTGAACAAGATTGTCCGAAAATCGTTTAATACGCTTTGTGATTATTGTACCTTATTGCAAGTATTCATTTTATAATGTTACAACTTTTGAGAACAACTGAAATGCTTTATATGCTGAAGTGTTACAATAATATTTTATTTTCTACAAAGATATCATTGTTTTTAAATTGTAAGAAGGTAAAGACACAAACGTATTACTGTTATTTTTCTTGTAACGTATGTGACTATAGACGTATTTTTTTCTGTTTGAATTGAATTGAATTGTACATTTTTTTTTTTTTGATTACCAAGTAAATAAGACTGTTGTTGTTTTTAACACATCCGACTTGTACGAATAAAATGCAAAACTAGGTCTATATTTAATGTATAGGTAACGTGGCGTATTTGGAGCAAAAAAAACAAATTACGGTGCGTGAAGTAATTAAGGAATTGTACTCGTATACACTAGGTACACAGTTAGTCCTGGCTTTATGGTGCATTACTATTTATTTTTATCAAACTATCTCATAATGTATTATATGTCTGAGCCCTCAAAATTCCAAGCTAACAAAAAATGCAAAACAATGGTCTTTTGGATCAGTTTTGAAAAAAGTAACATTTTATCATGATTAAATTATTATAAATACAGGGTGGTTCAGTCATTAAGGATAAGACACCTATTATTATTTTTAAGATAGTTGCGGTTTGATAGTTTTCTTTTTTAAAAGGGTTTTTTGTTTAAGTACCGTACTTACTCCAGCCCATATGGTCTTACGGAGTTCTCTTCTTGGATACCGATAAACACAAGAATAATCCAGGCATTTCAGTCAATAGGCCTGCGCATCGTTATTAAGATGCCTTAGTTTGTCGACAATAAACAATTACACAATTATTATTTATTTATTTAAAGGATTTACGCACGCCAGGGCAACAGAGTACACATAAACCATAATAATTAAGATAATAGTTGTAGAACATAATTATAATAATAATAATAGTAAAAAGCCAGTACAATACAGAGCATAGTTGGGTCGGGGCATAGTGGGGACGGAGAGGTCACAGATCTACAGATTTTATTATAACTGAAAGTGGTAAAATCACTTTTAAATAAACGCTTCGATGAGAATCTGTGGATAGTATGTTCAAACCAGTTATACGATAAGGGTTGATCGTCTGTCTATAGAAATGTACTGTCATAGTTACCCATATATCGTAGTTAACAATATAATGAAAATATTTTCATTACCTATTGGCTGTTGATTCACTCACACATAGCAACCTAGAAACTGACTACGGCCAAAGTGTAAATTTACCCAATTTTTGGTGTTTTTCCTTAATAAAAAAAAAAGTTTACTACAGATTTTTGAGAAAATTGTATATGTTATAGTTCCATTTTAGATCTACCTTCGGTCTAATTTTCAGATCTAAATTTTTAAAACTTTGCTTAAAAAACTGTAATAAAGAAAAAAAATTGTGTGGGTCTCGGGACCCGCGGCAGAAGTGAAACTTCAAAACGGTGTGATACATTAGGATTTTTTCGGCAATAACTAGTCATCGTAACAATATAATCACTAGAAAATTCAAAAATTGCATGTATTTTAAATATAAAACTTTAACTGCTTACAGGCAGAGGTTAGGATTGACTTAGAAATTTCTAATTAGGCTTAAAATTGTTTATTTTTTTTTCCAATCGAATGACACTCCGGCAAAGTAAAAATTCAGACATCACCCAAATAAGAACCACCCTAATACCTATATAGTCTTCCTGATTTGAAATTATAGAACCAAGTGGATTGACAATCATGTTGAACAGGAGTATTATCATTTTAAACTATTGGAAGTGCTGGATGATGTGGATCAAGAGGTACTAATATATCTAAAGCATGGTTTACCAAAACTGAACTAGAATTTGAAAACAGTAAATTAAGAGATATGTCATTAACAATAAGAACTGGGTTGTGTTGATACATATTATGACAAGAAAATCACGTCAGAACTCTGTGTTCTTAAACCACTATAAATTAAACCAACTCCTTCAATATAAAATTTAACACCAGGAAGATTATAATCAGCTGTCGAAATAACAGTCTTATTAGCACTAGCGTTCGATAAGATGTACTCAACGGACTCAGCATGGGTAGAGTAAACACTGACCGGGCTAGTCGGCAGAATATAACACGCGCCGAGAATAAACTTCCACCACCGGTAACAGATTGTTACCGGAATTGTTCAACGTTGTCGTGTGGAGTGGTAATAACATCATATACTAAGCTTTTATGGACACAAATGGCTACCCCACCACCTCTTAAACAAAACTAGTTGTATCACTCGATCAACACGGTACACACTGTACTCATCAAAACCAAGTTCAGCATTCAAAATAGACTCGTTTAGCCAGGTCTCAGCCTTACTTTCAATTGTTGCAAACTTGTCATCTTCAGATGACTAATGATTTTGCGACAATAGAATACCGCTTAAACTTGGCTCGCCTCGAGCCACGTTGGCTAAGAAACCAGTCCTTTTAATAAGAGTATCACTCTTAGGCATAATGAGATAATATTAACTATGCAGAGAGAAAAATTAACTATATATTTGCGCGGTAGAACACATGTTCACTGCACAACAGCTGATATTGATAATGAACAATGACTTAAAAGTAAAATCAAGTAAAAAAGTCCTGCTGCACCATGATCGCATGTAATTTTTACAAATCTTTTCTTACTTAATTTTTTCAAATATACGCTATATTATTAAAAAAAAAAAAAAAAAATGCGGTATTTAAGGGAAAGACGGTTGTTTTCCGGGCATCATGTACACCACGCAGATTCCGTAATGATTTACACATATCATGTAGTGTAGTCCGTAATAATTTTAAATTTTTTTTAGAAATATACAGACTTCCTACAGGTTTGTTGGAGTTTAATTTCTAATATCGTTACTAAAAACAATTAAAAAATTAAGTAAGAAAAGACTTGTAAAAATGAGTCATATCAAAATACTATTTTAACGTTTAAAAGTATAATTTTGATAATCGAGGTTCAAAAAGACCTATAAATTGTTGGGCTCTTTGCCTCGAGAACACCTCAACTGTCAGTTGAATTATTTACCACTAGAGACTGTTCCTTATTTACTTATTATACATTATTTTTTCAAATATACGCTATATTATTAAAAAAAAAAAAGAAATACGGTATTTAAGGGAAAGACGGTACAGAACTAATAGTTTTGTAATAGTACATTTTTTTTAATTTCTCGTATTATTCTTGGAATATATTTTTTTTAATTGTTACAGTTTTGAGTTAACATATTAAAACTAATAGTTTTATAATGGTACATTTTTTTAATTTTTTCGTATTCTTCTTGGAATATTTTTTTTTTTAATTGTGGCAGTTTTGAGTTTATTATTATTGCGTATGGATTCCCATTGACCGGCAGTAGGTTATAAGGCCTCAGTTCGGTCTTCTATGTGGAGAATGATAGTCTCTAGTCTCTCTCTCTCTAGACAATTTCCTTCCCAAAGAGAGAGAGACATCACCCGTAGCCGAGTATCTAGTTTTGAGTTCAGGCGTCGGTATAGCCTTGTTAATAATATACGTCAACACATTTAAAAAATATGTATTGGCTAAAATAATGGACAACAACACTGGCGGTGAAAAAAATATTAAACAAAAAATGCGTTTCTATTGATTTATTCTACTATTCTATCCATACTCGATATTATTGTTGTCTAGTTTTGTTAGTAGGTCGCGTTAGAATAAAACCCAAGACAATTCTCTTATTTGTATTACCTATCTTTACAATAGGTAATAACGCTAAACGTCATGCGCCCTTTATTTAATCTTCTCAAAGCCCCTTCGTGGTTTGTATCGAAGAGGTCAATGATGGACATGGGCGTAAGGTACGGGTCATGTCCCGCGGTCGCCATTAACGGATTTGGCCGTATCGGCAAGTGTTTACTTCGTTTGGCTGGTTCTAAAGACGTGAACGTAAGTTAATTAGCAAACAATATTTATCTTTAGCGTGTATATATACCATAATATTACATATAGGATTTCTTTAAATTTCTTATTTTTAAATTTGTTATGTCTAAAAATAATATTGTAAATCCTTATTGAGATTACAACGTGCTCGAAATATTAGACATACTCTTTATGGTAAAAAAATCAAAACAAATTATGAAAAAAACTGTCAAAAAAAAAAATGGTCGTTGGGTGTACTTAATGGTTCTGAATACTTGTAAAATTGAATGTTCATTCGTCCGCACAGGTGGTGGCTGTTAATCAACCGTTTTTCGACATCAAACAGATAGCCAACTCTCTCAGGTACGATACCGTACACGGTGCCTTTGACGGACAAGTAGATGTGAAAGAGAAGTGTATACTCGTAAACGGTAAGCGAGTAATGTTTTCTACGGTAATATGTATAAGCGACTAATCCGCGTGTGTTTAAAGGGAGAACCATCACAGTATTTCACGAAGCAAATCCGGAGAACATCAAATGGAAAGACGCTGGAGTGGATTATGTGCTCGAGTCGTCCGGAGTTTTCACTACAGTGGAAGCGGCCAAGGTTCTCATTTAAGCTATCTAAATTTTAAATTAGTAATTAGAGCTTATCAACAATTATTGGGCAGCTATCGTAAATAACTATTATTTATAGATGTACAGGGTGCAAGTTTAGGATGGGAAGAGGAGAGTGTAATATTACTTTTTTATCTTCGCAATTTACTCAAAATATATACGTTACCATTTAAGTTTCAAAAGTCTATATAAAAACAACTAATTTGGGAGGAGGTTAACTTAAATAGTGGCGTGAAAAATAATTGTCAATTATAAATAAAGTGTAATGATATTAGTTTTGTTGATATTATGAACTAACCAAAATTACAATTTACTAATATTTTTGTTGATTTGTTGTAAGTTTTACATAATTTTTGGGCTTCGTTAAATTTTTTTAATTGTTTATATTTTTTCTTGTACCGTTTTTTGTATAGAAACACATAACCGCAGGAGCCAAAAAGGTTGTGATCACTGCACCTAGTAAAGACGCCCCCACTTTTGTCAGGGGAGTGAACTTTGACGAGTACAAAAAATCCATGGAGGTCGTGTCCAATGCTTCATGCACTACTAACTGCGCCGCCCCGTTGGTGAAGATCTTGCACCAAAAGTTTGGCATTCAGAGCGCTTTGCTCACGACCGTACACTCCATGACCGCAACCCAGGACGTCCATGATGGGTTGAAGAAAGTAAATACGACCTGTGATACACTGGGTATTTCTTATGTCTTAACTGAGTGATTTTGGCACACAGAGAGCCGCCTCATACAACATCATTCACGGCACGACAGGTGCCGCAAAGGCAGTGGCGCTTGTCATGCCAGAACTCAAGGGGAAAATCAACGGAGACGCTGCCAGAGTGCCCACCTTGGACGTATCGCTTTTGAAGCTGTTTGTCAAGTACTTACACCAAACGTCGTTTACACGGGGGGTAGCGATATGACTGGGTCACTCGGAATGCTCATTTTGTACTCCCATGTTTAACCGGCCAATGACTACATTTCCAAAAAAGTATATTCGATTAAACTGATGTCGGGTCGAGATTAAACACAGTCATTGTTTAAATACTATTAATTGAAATCTGTATAAAATGTCAGTAACCATTTTTTTTTATCATTATCTCTATTAGCGTTAAGGAATCGGCGTGCGTGGAGGATGTTAAATGCGAGATAAAAAAACAAGCGGAGTCTTGCATGAAAGAAGTGGTGTTTTACCACGAAGAGAAGAGCGTCAGCTCGGATTTCATTGGCACTCAGTTTTCTTCAGTAGTCGATGGCAACCAGATCAACGTGGTTGACAAATTCATATCGGTCGGCGCATGGTACGACAACGAAGTGGGATACGCCTGCCGAGTGTTGGATCTCGTCAAACACATCATCAAAGAGGACAGAAAGTGTGGTTGATAACCATCATATTAGTTTGTTTCGTAACAGTTGTGCAACCGATACATAAATATACATATATAAACTTTCTTAAAAGGTTTTGTTTAAAAAAAAAAAAAAAAAAATGATCTCAGAAAATATGGACACTCTCCGTGTTAATACTTACAAATGGTAATGTTAATTTTGTTCAGTAATTGAAACATGTCATGTGATATGTTTAATAACAGTATGAACAATTGAACAGATTATTTTAATTTTTGAAATAATCACAAGATACAGGGTGATACTATGACCCGCAGTCAATGTTTTAGAAATATTAGACTTTTTAAATCAATTATTTTTTAATTATTACTAATTTTATTTATTTTTTGATTATTAGTTATCCGTTATGTGTTAAAGCCTATGGTTTTAACACATAACTCTCAGAGAAAAGCTATAGAAGATATTTCTAATTTACCTTCTAAGATTTTACGTGTAGAATTTAATTCTGATAATATTCATATTTATAAATACATTAACATAGTCTGACATTGCCATTTAATAAATATAAATATTTACAAGAAATGCTTAAGTGTCTTTTCATCTTGACTTGCCTAAAAATATTATTGAAACACAATATAAATTACAATGTTTGAGTGGAATAAATATTAAAACATGACACTATTATTATCAATTAATGATTATTTAAGTAACACTGTAAACACTACACTTTGTCGTCACATGTATTCATATTTCATTTTTGTAACACCCAATAGTATTATAGCTATTGTACTCATACTACATTGTATTCAGTTATAACGAATTTATACAATTATAATTCTATATAATTCTATTCATTTTTGTTATTTTGACATTTACATGTCTTAGCTCTGGCACATAACCAAAAAAGTTTTTCAGCCGAGTCTGCAACCACAAAAGATCATTTTCATGTCTTGTTGAAGTACCGAATAAATTTAGAGTAGTGGTGGAATTATAGATAATGATATAGTATATTAACGAGCGGTAACAAGCTAGTATAATTATGTAGAATCAAGTTTCTGGCTAAAATTGTAGTGTTTATTATCTGGCTTAAAAAAATTCATAGAGAAATTAGGCTATTAAACTGTTTTGAATTTATTATTTAGTTCTAATTTGAACGTTGAACGTACAACATATTTTTTATCTCCTATATCTTACCCTTATCACTAACCCCCTATCTCCTACCCCTATATCCCACCCCTATCACTAACCCCTTATCCCCTACCCCTATATCCACCTCCGACCCATCTCCGTGTGGTAACGCTCTTTTGGTAACGCTTTTTTCCGGTTATTTGCCATAGCTTATTCCACCCCTTTCTCATACCCACCCCATTTCTTTTTTCGTTACGCTCTTTTGGTAACGCTTTTTTCGGTTATGTGCCAGAGCTAATTCCACCCCTTTCCCATACCCACCCCATTTCTTTTTTCGTTACGCTCTTTTGGTAACGCTTTTTTTCGGTTATTTGTCATAGCTAATTCTACCCCTTTCCCATACCCACCTTATCTTCAACTCTTTCGCTTTTTTCGTTACGCTCTTTTGGTAACGCTTTTTTCGGTTATGTGCCAGAACTAAGACATGAAAATGTCAAAAAGTGTTACCAAAAAAAGCGTTACAATGTTATCTGATAAGAGATAACATGGTAACAAGATAGAGGTGGGAGATAGGGGGTAAGTGATATGGGTGATGATAGGATGTGGTAGATACGAGGTGGTAGATAGGGTGAGTGATAGGGGTGGGAGATAGAGTGGAAGATAGGGGTGAATGATAGGGGGTAGATGATGAGAGATAGGGTAGGAGATAGGGGATAGGGGATGGGAGCTAGTGGGTACGGGATAGGGAAAGATATAAAAGATAAGAGATATTTTATACGTTCAACGTTTAGATTAGAACTAAATAATAAATTCAAAACAGTTTAAGGGCCCAAATTCTCTATGAATTGTTTAAGCCAAATATTAAACACTACAATATTAGCCAGAAACTTGATGTTTTAATATACTAGCTTGTTACTGAATCTTAATATACTTCCACCACTACTTGTAAATGCTCTTTCGTGGTTGCAGACTCGGCTGAAAAACTTTTTTTATTGGCATTCGGAAAAAGGATGTTCGAAGAAACAATACGGATTGAAACCTAACATTTTTTGTTATTGACAAGACATTATTGCCATAAAATCACGAACAACTTTTTTATAATACTATAATATGAACCACATATTTGAGAAACAACGGAAGTCACCAAATATTGAAAAATGAGATAACACATGGGATACGTTTTATATTGATATATAGTATTATAAGTAAACACGCCTTATTATGATTAACTACGTGTATTTCAGAATGAACATAAGTCCAGAGTGTTCACTACAGTAATAAAACCACACATTTGCATGACGGAAAATCATGTATTTGAGAAATGACGTAAGTCCAGCAATTTCAAATGCATCCCCCAAGGCCAGAACGAGGTCAATATTTTTTTTTTTTTTTAAGTTGTGTATCCTAAACGAGCACTTTCCATTGGACCTTTCAGTTTCGCCGATATATAACACTGGTAGCGTTAAAACAGTTTTTTTATTGTTTTCTCCTAATTACATTTTTTGGACTTGCGTTGTTTCTCAAATATGTGGTTCATATAGAAAACATAATTTTTGGGAGACTATTTAGTAACCTCCATGTGATGTTCCCTGGTAAACGCTAACAGGTTGAATATTTAAACGTACTTAATTATTCACAAGTATTCTTTTTACTCAACTTACTTCGTTATTAGTCGGGAATCAAAAAAACTAAAAAAAAAGACGTGGTACTCAGTGTACTAATGACAGCAAAATATATACCAGAAGAGTCCACACATATTAAAAAAAAACAGTACAGTGGGGTCGGGGTATAGTGGGTACGGAACATAGTTGGGTCGGGGCATATTGGGGACGGGGAGGTCACAGGTTTATAGGAATTTTTAAATTTGAAAGTGATACAATCACTTTAGAAAAACGCTTCGATGCAAATCGGTAGTTAGTATTTTCAAGATAGTACAGTCCAAACCAAGCACAGTATAAACCAGCAAAGTTAGAAAGTATTAAATTGAGGTATTTATAAATAAGTATCAAAGCGTTTATTTGAAAGTGATTTTATTCAATTTTATCACTTTTATTTATAATAATTCTTGTAGACCTGTGACCTCTCCGTCCCCTCGTTGCTTTGATTCTATTATGCCTATACTCTACTGTACTAGTCCTTTTGTATAAAATACCCACTATGCCCCGACCCCACTGTACTGTTTTTTTTTGCAAAAATGTAGTGGACCAAATAACACATATACAATGTCTTGTTAAATTTAGTCGGAATGGTGGACGATTTATGTTTCAATCGTTTGTACTCCATAGTTTAAATTATAATCGCTTATTCTCAATAAAATTAATAATTATGTATTATATCCTTCCATTAGAGCAATCTCACACAAACTATTTATACTTCATAAATTATATTATTTCAAAGCTCTATTATACTCTATTTTACAAGATTGACAATGTACAAAACAAAATACAACTAAAAAAACCTTTTCATAGATCCTTAAAATGAAAAGGGTTTAAATACATTTGAAAATCGTCCGTTTTACTGCCCCACCTGTATATTAATTTCTTGTTATTTTCTAAAGAAAAATTGAGTTTCTAACATCTAAACTAAAATTAAATCGTATACTGGTACTGTGATGGAGAAAACAATAAATTTTACCTATATATATTACTTATTAATTAAATATTACTAACGTGTTTATAGCCAATAACGGTCGGCTGGGGCCTGTTATTTAACAATGACTTTTTATGGAGACTTAAAAAATTATGTTTTTTTGATAACTATATAGAAGCAGTAAAGTTAATTGTTCACGAGATTTGATCTAGTCATAAAATAAAGTATTATCATCCATGACTTTTAATTATAATTAAATATATCTTAATATGAACATAGTAATAAACTAATAAAATATTTTATACAAAATTAAAGCAACAAGTTGATAAAATTAAAACCTAAAATTAGCACAAAGCAGAATATCTAATATTAGATAACTTAAACTATCAAGCTCTTTTAATAAATAACAGTAAAACAAAATGCAAAACATTAATGATCCTTTTAAAATGTGTAAAATAAAATACATTTTGGGGCGGTATACTGCATAAAAACCAACACTAAATCTGAACTCAACCTACAAGAGTAATATAGCCCAGGCGATAAAATAACGAGATAACGACAGTGGTTTTGTCGTGTCATTATTATTTAAAATACTATAACTAATCCTAATTACTTTTACTATTACTACTACTATTACTATTAATATTTATCATACTATAACTATAACTACTACTTTTACTACTACTTTTACTATTACTTTAACTAATACTTTTACTATTACTATTACTGTTTTGTTTACTATAACTATACTAATATTGCTATTACTTTAACTATAACTACTACTTTTACTATTACTGTTGCTATTACTATTATTATTTATCATAGTATTACTATTACTTAAACTTTTACTAATACTATTAATGCTTCTATTTTTATAACTACTATTACTATCAATATTAACTCTACTATTACCATCACTCTTAATATAACTATAACTTCTACTTTTACTATTACTACTACTACTACTACTAATAATAATATAACTTATACTTTTACTATGATTACTACTATTACTTTAACAATTACTACTACTATTATTATTTATCATAGTATAACTATTACTAAAACTTTTACTAATACTATTAATGCTTCTATTTTTATAACTACTATTACTATAACTATTAATATAACAAGAACTACTACTGTTAGCATTACTTTAACAATTTTAATTACTTTTACTATTACTTCTACTATTACGACTACTATTACTGTTACTATAATATTTATGTTTTGTTATACTTTTACTACTACTTTTACTATTACTTTAACTAATACTTTTACTATTACTATTACTGTTTTGTTTATTATAACTATACTAATAT